GCTCTGGGTTGTGCTACGGTGTGGACGAGTGTATGGTGCGCTCGTGCGTCTGAAGCCTGGGCACCGTTGGATCTCGGATGAACAGATCGTACGATAAAAAGTATAAGAAAAATGAATAGTACCCAAATAGTAACCAAACAGTAATGCTCGAATTCAGAATTCAAATTCACAACGAATTTTTTATCTTTTTTTCTCTTCTTTTTTTATTATATATTTTTTTGTCATGAATAAGAAAATAAAATAACATTCAAAAATTTTTAGTGAATCCAAAATTGGGTTACAACAATATTAAATTATGATGTAATAAGAAATTATAATTAATTATTTTTTATTTTGCTTTTTCTTTTCTGGTTTTTATATCTTTGTTGTAATGTCTCAGTTGTAGCAAATTGATTTAATTTTTTCTCCTTTTGTTTTTCTAAATTGTTCTTTTTTTTCTTCTTTTTTTTTCATATCCCTATATTTTGCTTGTTTAAATATTGACTTTATAGCCTTTTTAATATTCACTTGATAATAATAATAATAAAAAACTATCCAAATCATTCCCTTGAGTATGGATACGGGCATTGTAAAGCATGTGAGATTAAGTATTGAATCCGAGATGTTGCTCCTCTGTAGTGATATTTTGAACTCCAAACTCATTACAATCAAAGTATCTTTAAAATGGCTATCTATGCCAAAATGGCTAGAACTTTATTCATGAAGATCTTACAACCAGACAGAACTTTATTCAGAAATAAATTGAAGTGACTAAAACATGAAGTGCATACACATATGACAAGGGTGATAGAACGATATTACTTTCCCCTATAGTCTGCTTAAGCCCTCGACAATATTCGACAAGTAGTTAAGCATTGACAAAATGGTATATTTCATATATGAAATTGCAACTCCCACTAACAACCCTGCCACCTTCTTTCCCATCACAGCAGCTTGGGAGTTCATCAATTATACCATCAAGGCATTTCTTACAAACAGCACTAGAAAGAGATCCCCAGTGCACTGAAGCAGACCATAAAGCTTGGTTGATTTTCCTAGTTCCCTCTCTCCTGTTGCAAACAACATGGGGGTTGCTTGAGCTTTATTGGCAAGCTGGCTCAAAAACTCTTTGATCTTCTCATTGAATGGAACTGGCTCACTCACAACGTGCACGTTTCACATGTAGAACTTGTTTCCAAAGAACCCATTGTTTGAGTACTTCAAAAGGCAGTTATCATACCAAATGATAGCTGCTTTGTTGTATGGGCAGCGCTTTCAATCTCACTGCTTGCCTCAACAACACAGGTTTTGCAATCTGAGGTTGAGACATCGCCTCTACAAAGAGCAAGCCCGTATGTTTGGTCCGGGGTCCTCTTGAATCCTTACCAAAACCTGTAGGAGGGTCTTTATAGTAGAGGTCACTAGTGAGCTTGTTTAGGTTGGATTCATAAGGGTCATTGGCAGTGAAGTTCTCAGGAGATGAACACAAATGGAAATTTGGGCCTGCTCCAAAAACAGTGTGAAGAAAGAGAGAAAAGGTTATTAGACATAGAGAGGAGGCAAAGTTGGAGAAAGACATGGTTGAAAGGAGAGAATGATGGGTTTAAACTTAGGACAATACTGCAATGTATAAAACAAAAGCAACATTGACTGAGGTGGGTAATGGGTTGACCAATTCATTTGTTTTAATATTAGTTA